ACACTTAAGTTAGGGAGAATGGTGCTCTTAATCTTAGGTTACAAGGGATTTTTGCCTTGGCACTAACTCCCCCACTGCTGGAGGCAGCGTCTCTTTGAGAGAGCTGACTTTGAATGAGCATGCAATCCAAATCAGCATGGTCAGTACAGTGAAGGGAAAGGGGGGGACACTGGGAGTGTTTCCTGTTGGGTGCCTGTGGCCAGGTTGGCAGTTATGAGTCAGGCCTTCTGCTGTCCACTGCCCAGCTATGCATTCAGCCTGTCGCTTTCTCAGGGGCCGTCAGCTGGCTTCCTCTGGCTCCGGTGGCTTTGGGTGAGTGGAGATGGACAACCTTGAAGGGTTTCTTGGAGAAAAGCTTCCTTGTTTCCCTTGCAGATCATAGGAGAGCTCCGAGGGCAGCGTTCAGCTTAATTAGAGCTACCAGCGCTCCTACAGTTGCAGCAAAGAGCAGCTGAGCCACCACTCCCCCTCCTTGGAGCTTGAGGTTTTCCTGTTCACACCAGAAATACCCCTCTCTCCACCCTGGTTGCTCTTTGAAGATAGTCTTCTAGCTGGCAAAATATTGAACAGCCCAAGCTGTAAAATACCAGGACCTTGGGCTAATAGTTAGAGGTAGAAGGCCCAATCTGTGAACTAATGTGGTCTTGGCCTCCTGTTTCCCTCAGGACACTGGGGGAACATTTTGGGGTCTAAAAGCATCTATCCCTAGACCCTGAGATAAACTTAAAATAGTGCCTTTATTACTCATTTGGAGGCCTTGGGTGGCACAGATGGTTAAGTGCTTGAGTACTAGCCAAAAAGTTGGTGATTTGAACCCACCCAGAGGTGTCTCGGGAAGACATGCCTGGTGATATCCTGCCTAAAGCTCACACCCTTGAAAACACTAGGGAGCGGTTCTACCCTACACACATGGGGTCACCATGAGTTGAAGTGACTCAATGGCAACTGGTTTTATGACTCGTTTAGCAGCACTGGGAGAATGTTTAATAAGAATTGCCCCAAACACACAAAATTCCTAGGGTGATTTTTCTAAAACAAATCTGACAGTATCACTGTCCCTTATCCACATTAAAACCCTTCTTTAGCTTCCCACTGTCCTAGAATTGAACCTGAATTCTTCAGCCCAGTCTCAGAGTCTCTTTGTGATCTGTCTCCTCCTCCAGCCTCGTCTCTCACCTCTCTTCCTCAGTCACAGCTAAACATCTATAATTCACCTTGATCTCTCTTCTTCCCATCTTTTCATCTTGACTTGTACAGCCCTCCTGGTACCCTCAGTTTGCCTTCAGGATACACCTTCTGCAAGAGGCCCCTGGATGTATTCTCCCCATCTGGGATGGTGAATTGTACGTCAACTTGGCTAGGCTATGGTGCCCACTTGTTTGGTCAAACACTAGTCTCGTTGCTGTAGTTACATACGATTAAGTCAGTTGGTCTTAACCAAGCAGACTATCTCCCATAACGTGTGGGACTCATCCAATCAGGCGAAGGTCTTAAGAGCAAAAAGGAGTCTCCCTAGGGTGTGTTCTATAAATAGACTATAAATAGACATTTTGCCTGAACTCCCTCACTCTTTTTGTTGCCTGACCTACAGATTTAGGACAGCCACAATTGTGTGTGCCAGTTCCTCAAAGTAAATCGATCTCTGTCTTTCTACGTTGTTAACTACTGTCCAGTTAGCCACTGACTCACGACAACCCCATACACAATGAAATGAAATGCTGCCTGGTCCTGCGCCATCCCCAAGATCAACTGCAGATCAGACTATTGTGATCCATTGGGTTTCCACTGGTTGATTTTTGTAAGTAGATTGCCAGGCCTTTCCTCCTAGTCTGTCTTAGACTGGAAGCTCCATTGAAACCTGTTCAGCACCACGGCAACGTGCAAGCCTCCACTGACAGATGGGTGATGGCTGCACATGAGGTGCACTGGTCAGGAATCGACCCCTGGTCTCCTGCATGGAAGGTGAAAATTCTACTATTGAACCACCAATGTCCACCTCCTCCCTGGTGTATATATAGATCTATTTTACTGGGTATGTTTCTCTAGAGAGCCCTGATTAAGACACCGTCCCTTCCTCCCTCCCTGCATTCTAGGTTATGTGATCCCACAGCATCCGGCTACATCACAATTACACCAGTGGCACTGCTTGTGTACTTGACTGCCTCCTACTGGAAGCTCGAAGCAGCCCAAGGGCAGGGACTGAGCCTCTGACCTCTCTGCTTCCCCATCTCCCAGCACAGTACATGCATACTCTAGCCGCCAAATGGAGTGAATGAATGAATAAACAACAGCAAGCAAAAAAGAAATCTCTGGACTGATGTGAACTGCACATCACAGCATAGAAATTAATACCTAGAAGGTGGTATAAAAGGCCAGTTTTGTTAGCATGTTTTCCAGGAGACCATTTTAGTAACATGTTTTCCCAATTACCAAGTTCAAGATGAGCTTCCTGGCTCCCAGCCCATGTGAATAAAAAGCACACCCACTCACTCACCCTCTCATTCACTTATTCGTTCATTAAATTGGCAGTTACTGTACACCTACCTTGTGCCAGACATGTGGGATACAGACACGAACAAGCTAGGCATGGCCCCTGAGCTAGGGAGCATCTTCCAAGGTCTATTTTGGGAATGGGAGCTTTCTGTTTGAAAGGAAACCTAGCAATAGATTTATGGAGAACAGACCCCAGAGGACAAGCATATCTTTAAGGACTAGCTGTGGAGGTGGGCTTCAAAAGACTCAGAGAAGAAATAAAGGCAGCCTGCAAACAAGTCTGAGAAAGTTGTTTTAAGAGTGGTGGTGAGTACCAATTTTCCCTTAGAGAGCAAAGACAGAAAAACAGGAGATGGGTTTCAGAAGCAGCTGCAGGTATCTGTAATGATAGGGCAGAGACAGCTTTGTTATGCATTAAACTGTGTCCCCTTAAATTTTGTGTTGGGATCCCAACACCTATACCTATAAACGCAATCCCATTTTCTTTGTTATGTTAATGACACACCCGAGTGTAGGCTGTGCGTGAAACTGAATCACTTTTGAGACATAAAAAGAGCAGATTAGATAGAAACAAGCAAGCACAAATGGGGAAAGATGGATGGAGATTGTCAAGAAACGCCAGGGCCAGAGAAGTTGAGACATGGCTTTTCCCCCAGAGCGGACAAAGAGAGCCTTCCCCTAGAGCCAGGTGTCCTGAATTTGGACTTCTAGCCTCCAGAACTGTGAGAAAATACATTTCTGTTTGTTAAAGTCACCCACTTGTGACTTCCCACTTAGCAGTAGGAAGCTAAGATAACCTTGAAACCCACGCCCGGCCAAAGATGGCCACAGCAGCCCCTCTCTGCACCTCTTAGGCCAGAGGAGATGGAAATGCAGCTCTGGGAGCTGTCAGCTCCCAAGGGCACGGCCAGGCTGCTGGTGCCAGCTTTGGCCTTGGATAGAACCAGCCCTGCGACTGTGAGGCTCAGTTTCCATGCTGAGAGAAAGGGATTAATAAGACCACCACCCAGGATGACAGGGCGGTCAAATGAGATGAGGTACTGCAAGGTTTGTACATATATGGCTACCTGAGTTATGATGATAAGGGTAAGATAAGTAAAGCATTCTTAACTTAGGCATCCTATGAAGACTAAATGAGATAAGGGTTTGAATGCTTCGCCCTCAGGGGAAGTCTGTTAAGTGATCAACAGGATTAGCTTGCATTTATTGATACTATGCGCCAGGCCTTCACACGTGTTTCCTCATGTGATCCCCACAACAGCCCTAGGAGGCAAGTCCTCTTATCATCCTTATTTTACAGAGGACACTAAGGCACAGAGAGGTTGAGTAACGTGGCCCAGAGTCACACAGTCAGAAACTTCTGGTGCTGGATTTGAACCCAGGAAGCTGGACTCTCAAGTGTGTCCTCTCCTTAGGTTCTGCTAAAGAGAACTCAGGATACCAGGAACATCACCTTGGGGACCCTATCCCACAGCCCCCAATCTCCAACAGCAGCACCAAGAGCTGTTGGCTGCTTGCCAAACTTACAGTCTCCTCCAATCTCCAACTCTTCCTCCGTAACCTACTTTGGGCCTACAATCTATGCCTACTTACACTTTCAACACACTGTTTCTCTTTTCAGCCTGCATAACCCTTACCCACTATGGTGTAAGATCTCGATTGCCCTGAAACACTCTGCTTTACACTTTAAGGGAGCCCCCTATTTCTGGAATCTGGTCAAGAAGTTCATATTCCCCTACCCACAGGGGTTCTGAGTCTATTTCCAGCTCTGTGTGGCTTTTTGAAGCTCAAAGGAATTAAAGTGTTACAAACATGATGGCCAGTGGCACTCTGGGCCTTTATGTCTATGCACACAATCTGTAGTTTACAAATTCTGTTGGGAGTAATGGTGCTTCCAGAATCCTCTCCTGCTTCAGAACTGAAGTTCCACTTTTATCTACTTTACATATTTAGGTTTCATGTAAGGTTTTATTTGAAAAAGGGTTCTGTTTTTAAAGATATGTGAAAACCAATAAGACTTACTAAGAGTTTTAGAATTACTGAACATTCACTATTAAAGGATCTCTGGAAACTACTGATTTTAGTTGTTGCCTCTCTCCGGGGGAGAAATGAAGAGCAGGCAGAACCACAGGTCATCTCTTTGTCTCCCCAAAAGTCTTCATGACGCCCCTCAGAATTCAGTCAAGGGCATAGGTCCTGACAGTTGAAGAGGTCTTCATTTTGCTCAGCAAGTCTCTCCTGTTACAAGTTTCTGTTTGACCTTTCACACAAAGGTCATACTAAAGAACTAAATTACAAACTTACCCAAGGGAAAGACTAATGCCCTTGGGTGACCAGGAGAGTGCAGGCTTTAGAAGTCCAAACCAGCCTTTAGTAGGCTTTGGTAGTCTTCCAAAGCAGGAAAATAACCATATAATCATGGAAAGCTCTTAACTGTTCTTGAGGACGTTCTAGGATAACAGGAAGCAGGATGGAGCAAAGGCAGACTGACTTTCAAACAGCCTTACCTGTTTTTCGATGAAAGCGTTGATTCTCTGTAGCATCCCCTCACATGTGAATTCATACGGCATGTACGGCTCAGTCTGTGGGAACAGAACATGGAACTATGAGAGAGGAAGACACAGAGGGCACCCCGCATTCTCCCAGTCATCCACTGATTCACTCGACACGCAGGTGCCTGCATACTGAGGGTTAGGCTGTGGACTTCGAGGTCAACAGACTGGGATTCACAACCTCACTCTGCTCCTTGTTAGCTGTAGGACCCTGAGAAAACTATCTGCCATCTTGAGCCTCAGGTAGCTCATGCATAATACAGTTATAAGAAAAGCCCATCTTTTTTAGGCTATGGTGAAGACTCCATATAGTTAAAAAAAGTGAAGTACTTAGTTCAGTGTCAAGCACATAGTAGGCATTCAACAAAAGGTGGTGACTGTCACTTGCTAGAAGGTAAGCTCTATGGGGCAGGGCCCAAGGCATTGGGTCCTTTGCATATCCTGGCGCTGAGCTTGGTGTGGCACATGTAGGAACTTAGCAAACATCTGCTGAATGAATGAATGGTCACTGCTCTGACAAAGGCATACGGTGAGCAGCTCAAGGACCCATGAAATGCCAAAAGCACAGGTCTGTGTTAGGAGGTGAGGCCAGCATGTATCCAAAGGACTCTTAATGAAAAAACAGACATAAAGTGTCACAGAGAGTTCAGCTAGACGGTCCTGGGAAGCCAGAAGGTCAAAGCTTCTGCTCATGCTGGGCTTTAAAGGCCAGGTATGACTCTAGCCGAAGACTGGGGAATGCCAGTAGCTCCAGGTGGAGTGAGGAGTGTGAGATTAGACGTGGAAGATGGACAGCCAGAGGCTAGCACCCAGACCAAAGGAGGCTGGTGAAACAAGGCTGGATGGGAGGTTGAGTAGATTTCTATACTAACGGGCCTAGACTTGATTTGAGGGCAGTGGAAAATCCTAGAAAGTACTTCATGCGGGTGGAGGAGGCAATCTGATCAATACTGTGACACTTGAGGGAAGGGGAAGAAATGTGGGTTTGATCTCTGCTGCACAGTGTTTGTGCCAACACCATGAGGCCTGTGTTATCAGGAGCACTGCCAGCTGGCATTACCAAAGTGAAATAGGAATTTCCAGCGATCCAGGTCAGTTAGAGCTTCAGAGAGTCCAACAGCAGCTTTCAGTAGAAGGGTAGACAGGTATCTTCCCTATCCCCCTCTTAAGTCTGTCCTTGCCTATACTGAATCTACAGGTTAGGGAACTACACAAAATATCTGTGAGTTGGAGACTCCTGAAAGTGGACAATCGACAGGGAAGACATCCTTTAGTGGGAAGCCAAGTAGATGGTCTCAGGGCATTCTCTTCCTCTTTTTTGTGTGCTGACTCATACATTACTGTACATTTGAACTAGTCTTCAATCATGATTTTATGACATCATAATGCATTTTCAAATGCACAACTAGATGGTGCATCACCCAGGTTGCACCTCAACCATACCAGCTCATAACTCTGCTCAAGTCCATCTGGACAGAACTAGAAGAGACTAAGCCATAAGTACTGTAGTATCATGGCAAAACTTTTCTGCAAGAACAGAGATGACTGTTTCTAGACAGCTCATCTCTGAAGAGCTCAGCGTGCTTTGAAACACTGATGTCCATGTTCCAAACATGCTCCTTCTCTTCTTAAGCTTTTGCACTTGCTCTGACCTCTCTGACCTTCATGCTAAATGTAAAAATTTTCTTATCTTTTAAAGGATATTTATTTGCTCAATTCCTGGTTGACTCCAGAAGCTTTCTATAACTAGTTTAGAGACATACATCCTCTCAAAGGTTTACAGAAGAAATAAAAAGTACTACCTACAACAGGGTACGTTGCACATTTGGGCTCTTTTACAAGTGGACAAGTCAAGTTTCTGCGGTGACATGAACAAACACTGGTGGCCACCTCCCATGAGACCAAGAGAACCAGTTATGTGGTGGGAAGCAGGCTGAAACCCCAAGCCTTTCCTGCAACATATTCCAGAGCATCCATGAGAAAACAAAAGCAAATTAACCCAAAACGCTCAATGCAGTAAATTAGGAGGAATGGTTCTTCCTCTGTTCTCCTACCGACTAAGACCAGGTTCACCAAAGGGATGCTGACTCATTAATCGCTTTGTGGCCAGTACATTGTTTTAAAGGATATGAAGCCAAACAATTTTCCTATAAAGAAAAAGCAAAAAAAAAGCAACTGTATTCTTAAGCCACCTCTGCCAGTGAGCCCCACTAGCCATCCTGATGAGGAAGATGGGAGCAGGGTCCTCTGTGTGAGAAAGCTCTCCAGACCTCTGGGTTTGGGGGTGAAGAGAATTGACAAGCCTCTCACACTGGAGCTGTTGTGCAGATGGGGGTGGGGACAGTTGACAGTTTTTCTGCATAACAGTCTTCTGGAACAAGTCAAGGTCTCTTTTGGGGTGGCATGAAAGGGGTTGCTGGAACCATATCTAATCACTGAGAAACCCATGTAGGGCCAGATGTGGAGAAGCAAGGGAGTGTTGGTTATCCTGCTTTGTAGAAAAAGGATTGTTCCTCATATGGGCAGGGCCACAGGAAGGATGTCTGCAGGCTGCAATGTGTAGTTCCTGCTGGCCTTGGAAACTTACCATTGTCTTCCTATCTTCTCTACTTCTTCCTCTTGACCTCCCTTCTTATACATTTCTTATCTCCTCTAGTACCCGTATTTCCCCATCTCAACTGGCCAAGTCTAGATACAATTCCTACAGGGGACTGATCTCAGATAACAGATCCACTAAACCCATCCTGGGACCATCTGACAGTGTGGCCTGGCATTGTTCCATGACAGATGGACTTGGAAGGTACCAGAAGACCAGGCTTTGAGTCCTGGCTGATCTACTTAATAACCATAAGATTTTGAGTTAGGCATACATAAAACCTCTTTTGATATTTTAAAATATAAACAACATCATGTCATTCCTCTGCTCAAAACTTCTCATCACACTAAGAATAAAATCCAGGATCCTTATCATCACTTATTTAAAGGCCCCACAGGTTCTGGCCCCTGGATACTCTTCACAGTGTCCATTACACTAAATTTTTCTATGGCTGCTTTCAATATTTTCAGCAGAATGACTATGATGTCCCTAGATGTGTTTTTCTTTGTATTTATCCTGCTTGGGGTTCACTGAGCTCCAAGGACCTGAAATTAATACCATTCATTAGTTTTAAAAAAGTTCAGCTATTATCTCTTCAAGTAATTTTTCTGTACCATTCTATCTCTCCTCCTTCTGAGATTCCAATTACACATAAATTAGAATGTTTGATATTGTCCCACAAATCTCAGATGCTCTTTTCTCATTCTTCCTTTTCTTGTATTTCTATTTAGATAATTTTTATTGATAAGTCTTTAAATTCACTGATTCTTTTCTCTTCTGTATACAGCTTACTGATAAGCCCACTGAAAGAATTATTCATCTTAGACATTGTATTTTTTTTTTCATTTCTAGATTTCTAAAATTTTTTTCCATCTCTCTGCTGAAATTCCCATCTGTTCACACATGTTGTCCACCTTCTCCACTAAATCTTTTAATATATTTATCATAGTATTTTAAAATTGCTGTCTGATAATTCCAACATCTGGGCCATCTCTAGGTCTGGTTTTATTGACTATATGCTTTCTTAGTGATGAGTCCTGTTTGCCTGCTTTTTGAGTGTCACGTACTTTGAAATCTAAATTCTTGTGACTGAATATGAAAAACCATGGCACCAAATTTCTGACCTATTTATAGGTCAGGGATTTTCATGGCAATAATTTGGTATTTTCACAATAATTTTGGTATGAACCGCACTTCTTACTTCATCTTTCCTTCCTACTCTTATCTTTCTCTTTACTTCATTTCATGCTTTTTCCTTTTTTAATTTTATATTGTTTAAACAAACTAGTCAAAAAGGTCTGGGTTTGAATCCAGGTTCACATTAGTTGTGTGATCCTGGGTAAGTTAAACTTAAATTCTTTATCCTTGATTTTCTCATCTACAAAATGGGAATACAAGTTCCACTCCACAGAATTATAGGATTAAATGAGCTAAAGCTCATAAAAGAGGTTCTCTCTATATATCAGTCGCTGCTATTACTACTTTTTTTAAAGGAGCCTCAAATAATTTTTAGAATAAGGTGGAAAAATGTTGATTAGGGTTTTAAGTTGTGGAGCATTTAAGGTTTCATGGAGTAAACAGAGTCAGCCTCATTTAGGGGTGAGCAGACAAAACCTAGTACCCTACTGCAAGTGTTCTACATACCAGGCATTCCCATCAGGGTGAATACAAACATCCCTGGATTTACATGGTAATTACTTTCCTGGAAAACTCAGTGTATATTAAAACTGTGCCAAAGAGTTAGATTTTATAAACCCACATGAAAGCCCAGCAGGGCTTTGAAAGTTGTATGGGAAGTAGACAATTCTTCCTTGCGCAGGGCTGTCCTGCAGGTTGCAAGGCATTCTACATCTCTGGGCCCCACCCATAGGTGAAGGGTAGCACCTACCTCCCCTAATCATGGTGCTAATAAGTCAATATTGACTAAACACTTACTACGTGTAGATACTATACTTCAACATTTTATATACTTTATCATTTCATCCTCACAAGTGTCCAATAAGGTAGGTAATATTAGCCCTAGTCTAAACTGGGACTCAGAGGTTAAGTACCTACTTGAGGAGACACAGCTAGTGGTAGAGTTAGAACTCAAACCCAAGCTGTCTGATTCCAGGCCTGCCCTTATAACCACATCTATACTGCTTGTCTTAAAAATTATAACAGGGTATAAAAAGTGCTCTGATAGCGGACTGCAGGGGACAAGGTGCACCTGATATAGTCCTAGACAGTACTGGGTTCGGGGCGAGGATAACTTGACTCATCCCTACTGGATGGCAAACTTCCTATAGGTGGAGAGCCAGCCTCATTTATGTTTATAGAAGCATCCCCAAGAGTGGCTCAAGGAGTCCTTGGGTGGTATAAATGGTTAACATGCTTGGTTGCTAACCAAAAGGTTAGAGGTTTGAGTCCACCCAGAGGTGCCTTGGAAGAAAGGCCTGGTGATCTGCTTCTGAAAAACCAGCCAATTGAAAACCTTATGGAGCAATTCCACTCTGACACACATGAGGTTGCCATAAGTCAGAGATGACTCCATGGCAACTGGTTAGAGTGACTCAGAGGGTGCTCTGACTACAGTGTGTACTTCCAAAACGTCTGCTGAATCGATCAGAAGAGTCCATAAACAGAGCTTAGCTGCTCACCAAAAGGTTGGCAGTTCAAATTCACCAGCTACTCCTTGGAAACCCTATGGGGCAGTTCTACTCTGTCCTATAGGGTTGCTATGAGTCAGCATCGACTTCACGGCAACAGGTTTGTTTTTTTTTTTAATACAATGTTTAGGTAGAAAAACCAAATAAAGAGATGCTATGCAAAACGTTTCTCAGTCTTTTTCCTTATCAGTCTTATTCCTTATCCTTCTCTCTTTTTATTAGGGGAAACAATGGCTATGGGCCTATCTTTTCAGATCTTTGAGACGGCTTCATAACTAAGTCACTGAGCCAAGTATAATTCAAGCTCCTAATACTGTGCCTGGTGCCCAAGAGTCATGCCAAATGAGTTTGTAGAATTAATGCACACATCTGGGCACCAGCTCTGTTTTCATTCCACAGAACATCCACGAAATCCCTGGTCAAATCTCCAGCATGGCTATTTTCTAATTCCACGGTTAAGCTACCACAGAAAAGCTCGACTTAGTAAAACAAAGAGCCTGTAACACTCTCCACACATTTCAGTTCACATTACAAGTAGGAAAAATGGAATAATAATAATAATAAAGAACCTTTTGATTTAAAATTGCTTTCACTGCATCCTCCACTTCCTCCTGGTTGTTGAGGTCAACAGTCCACACGTGTGGCCGGCCGATGAAAACTTCAGCATAAGGATGTTGAGATGTCAGCTGGGAAAGAAAAATCATCTCAGCGTCACATACACTTACTTTCTTTTAATCTTTTGAGTTAGATGAAGTGTTACGCATTTTATGGTTCTGAGTTTTGCTTGTGTAGGTAACATTTCTGTCCTCATCAATAAAAATCTCCTAAATGCTCCTAAGCAGATAACAATAAAATAGTGATGGCCCCAAAATAGATACCACCATCCATCAGTCAGTTTGTCATACTGTGGTGGCTTGTGTGTTTCTGTGATGCTGGAATCTATGCCACCGGTATTTCAAATACCAGCAGGGTCACCCATGGTGGAGAGGTTTCAGTGGAGCTTCCAGACTAAGACAGACTAGGAGGTAAGGCCTAGTAACATACTTCCTAAAATTAGCCAATGAAAACCCTACAGATCACAATAGACTACTGTCTGATATAGTCCTGAAAGACGAGCCCCCTAGGTTGAAAGGCACTCAAAATACACAGTGGCTGCAACAATGGACTCAAGCTTCCAATGGTTGTGAATATGGCACAGGACTGGGCAACATTTCATTCTGTTGTACATGGGGTCACCATAAATCAGAGCCGACTTGATGGCAGCTAACAACAACTAAAACAGTGATGGTTTTAAATCTTGAATCTCACTTGGAAACAAGAGACAGAATGTTATAACCAAGTGACACCAAGGCTGTTATAGATAGCTTTAACTTCTAACCTCACACCAAGAAATAACCAACACTGGCCCTTAGCCATACCCCAGCCCTGAAAAACCACAGAGACCAAACCAGCATCTATTATAAACACTGACTAAGATAAACAGGTAAGCATGGGAAAAATACAATAGAAATTGAGGCTTTAAAGTTGTAAGACAATTGAGTAATGGCACACACAGAAATGTGATAGAATGAGAAATGATCCTACCAGAAAACACAATTTTGGGATGGCTTCAGAAATACACACTAGCATCACAGTGGAGCCTTGGTATTCATAAAGCCAACGTGCAATCAGAAGAGTAAGGAAAGGCAGTGTTTCTCCTAAAGGGTTTATTTTAAGAATGAAGGGGTGGCCAAGATACCAAGTTGAATATTGGTTAATACAGAGTTCTTGAAAAGTCCATTCTTTAAGATAGCTACATTCATCCCTCAAACTTGTTTCCACCTTCATTCTCATATCCCTTTAAGGTCATGGTCTAAAGGCAACATTGTGGGCATTTGTGAGAGCATTTTTATTTATCACCATGACTGTGGGAGGTGCTACCCTTCACCCATGGGTGGGGACCAGGAATGCAGGATGCCTCGCAGTGTGCACAAGGAAGAACTGTCCACTCCTCACACAACTTTCAAAGCCCTACTGGGTTTTCATGTGGGTTTATAAAATCCAACTCTTTGGCACAGTTTTAATATACATTGAATGTTCCAAAATCAAGGGATGTTTATATTCTTGTTTTATCTGGAACTTCATCAATAAGCCATTACCATTTTAGAAAAATCACAGAAGCAAAGGCAATGCCACTCCTGATATCTGAGTCTCTAGAACAACATACCAGATCAGTCTATACTTGTTAGCTATCACAGTAATGGTAATTATGTGCGTGTGTAGGTATACGTGTTTTTTTACTTAGCTCCTGTTTCACAATGTTAAGCATAATGGAAAAAGGGTTGATCACATTCAGCTGAAGGTTTCATTTCTCTTAAATACAAACTCATTTTAAGGAGGAATGAGATATCATGATGTTACAGTATAGTTCTTGGGTATAGTATAGTTCTTGAGTACAGACAGTCCCTGGGTTATGAATGAGATTTGTTCCTAAATTTGTTTTTAAGTCGAGTTTGTAGCTAAGTTGGAACCAGTACGTACGGTTCTTATTTAGCGTCAGTCAAATGTTTGTCTTAGCACCTAATATGTATTTTACCTTCCTGTGTATATAAAAAACATAAGAAACACTTTCAAACTGCACAGTGTTTTCATGAGCGTTACAAAGTGGAGCAAACACTCATTATCATGAACCACTGTATTTAACTCATTATGACAGTCTGTTCGTAAGTCTGAGTTGTCCCTAAGTCAGACACCGGTAACCTGGGGACTGCCTGTGTATGCTTACTGAAATATGTGTTAAATTTATTATAAATTATTTTCCTTCTATTTCTCCTTTATATTAGAGTTGGGGAATGATTCCTTTTTGGAATTACACACATACGCTGGTTATATTATTTATGAATTCCATTTTAGGAGAGAAAAGTATATGTCACGATATATTTGTTAGAAAAGGGAGGCGTTGGGTCTGGTAGCAAAGTCTCTGGTTGGTGCAAACAGTTAATATACTTGGCTGCTAACCGAAAGGTTGGAGGTTTGAGTCCAACCAGAGTCAGAGTTGACTTGATGGCAACTGGTAGGGTTGAAGGCCCTTGCTTTAGAGTCAAAGCCAGTTCTCTTTTTTTCCCCAGGCTCCAATATACTCAGAGGACAGGAAGATTTAACTGGCACCTCTCCTTCTGGCTCTTAGGCACCATCCTTTGTAACCTGCCACACTAACGATGTGCTTCTACTATTCAGAGCGGAACCCAGAGTACAAGTCACTGGGCCCCAGTTCTGGGCCTTTGCTGGCAAACACCTGTGGACTCCTGTGACTTGGAGCTGCAGGTTATCTTAGCCATTGCTCCTGCCTCCCCTGCAATCATCTGCCCAGAGCCGCCCCATCACAGTCTGCTCAGTTCTCCATACTTCCAGCTTGTACTCTCTTCTCTTGCTATGGTCAGTGATGGAAGCTACAGAGTCTTTGCAGACCATGGAGCTGGGGACGACCTCTATTTTTTTCCCCGTTGGCACATATTTTGAATTCAACACATATTTATGAAGCCCCAGGGTGGGCCAGGCACTGCGCTAATCACCTGAACAGACAGTACTAATCAGGTTTGCTGTGTATTAATGAGGACCCCGAGGTTCACAGAGGTTTACAGCTCCCCAAGACTGCACAGCCAGAAAGCAGCAGGGCCACATTCTAATCCAGATCCTTCAAGAACTTAGTAGCTTTGGACAGAAAGGAAGAAGACCATTTTAAAGCATGGCATTGAGTTCTTGACAAAGACTAAACAATGCCCAATGTCAACAGCAGCCTTTTAATCACTCTCTTAAAACTTGCCAACCTGAAAAATCTCAGGGCTAAATTTCTGTCTGTATTAGACCTCTTCTGAAGATGAGCAAAATCTCACATCATTTTCATTTTAGGACCCTGAGAATAGATTCATTAGTTCTTACAATGGAATCAGGCAGATTAAAGTTGCCATCAATGTCACCAGTTACCATCTGCATATTAGCAGTCTCTCTTCTCCCCCCTTTAAGATTCCTGCTTATTTACAAAGTTGCTCTAAGCACTGGGAAAATACAAAGTGCTGCGCCATTATCATTTTATTCACTTACATTTATTGAGGGTTACTTAATTTTATGAGAAAGGCATTTTGTGATTTATTATTCCCCCTCTGAATGTTACATTCCTTCTTGTTAATTTATGGAGAACCGTCTGATCTGAGCTACTTCAGCGTATATCAATCAGTAAATTTACTAGAGTAGAGTTTGTAAAAGTAATGACAATCTTACTAAATATGAGACATTACTTCAGAGCTGCTATTAAATCTCTAAGGAGAACACAAGTTCTCTTTATGGAAAACAACAACAACAAAAATAAAATAAAAAGAACACTGAAGTCAGAGAATTTGTAATGGTTTACAAAATGTCAGAATGACGATCAAGAATGTACTAGTATGTTTCCCAATATAAAGATAAAAATCCAATTTATATTACATTTAAAGTATAGCTTGAACAAACACGTTAGTTAAGGCATTATGGAACTTCTTCCCCGTTGAGTATAGACTGTGGTTTTAAAAATTGGTCAAATGCAAAAACACAAAGCTAAACTCATATTTAGAAATCTAGAATTTTTCTTCTCTTCAAATGAGGGCAAAGAAGAGACATCTATACAATGTATATGGGGACAATTGTAGCTTAACTAAAAAGATTTGTGTGGGCACAAAAAATAGCTTTGCAATTATGCATACTTTGGTTGAAATTTTTCTACCTGATGAGGACAAAAATATTTTCTAGGGAATTCTGACCCTTAGAAATCTGTAGAACAGTTGATAGCTCTTTTCCAATAAAAAATGTCTTTGCAGCTAAAAGAGCAGAGAACAGTAGCCCACCTGGCTGTGAGAACGAGTTTACTGACTCCTTGCAAAGCACGGGGGGCAGTGGTGGTTCAGAGTGGTAGAATTTTTGCCTTTCATGAGGGAGACCCAGGTTCAAGTCCTGGTCAATGCACCTTATATGCAGCTATCACTCATCTCTCAACAGAGGCTTGCATGTTGCTGTGATGGTGAACAGACTTCAGAGGAGCTTCCAGATTAAGATGGACTAGGAAGAAAGGCCTGCCGATCTACTTCTGCAAATCAGCCAGTGAAAACCCTACGGATCACAAGGATCTGATGTGCAACTGATCATGGGGATGACACAGGACTGGGCAGCATTTAATTCCATAGTGCATGGGGTCGCCATGAGTTGAGGGCTGACTGGATGGCAGCCAACAACAACAATTCAAAGTTGTGTGGCATTGCTGGCTACCAGCCCCCTCTGTGCACCATCTCCAGCAGAGTGGGAGATGGACACTGCCCTCCTACATAAGGTAAACTGACCTTCTTGGGGTCTTCCTCCAACTCGTCAATATTCATGCCCCTCGTGCTTGAAACTCCCTCCTCCTTCTCCTTTAAAGGACAGCTCCTCCACTGCCCTTCTTACTTAACCCAGCACATTCTCCCCTGGCACAACTCCAAGGTAACTCCCCTCCTTAATTCACTCAGTATTTCTTTATGAACTTCCGTTGATTATGCATCTACCTGATCACTCTTCTATACCAGATTTTGAGCTCCTGGGAAAAAAGGAAATGTGTTCTGTTAAGTTCCTCCAATGCAGACACCAGTACCATGCAGCTCAGGGATACAATAAACATCTGTCAATTGACATCCTGCAGCCTGGCTCTCCTGGGGACAAAGTCATCTATGTGAGGTCATTTGCTGAGCAACTGTTGACAGGATCCCACACTGTCATTTGACTAGAGTCTCAGTTAAGGACTGATGGGGCTGTCTGAACAGGTCGGGAGAGGCAAATGCCTAGGGACAGCTCCAATGTGTATTCTCTTTTTATGCCATGAAGAATAAAAAACCACAATGACCTCAACAAAAAGCAAACCACTAAATGACGACAACCAACAGATAACAATGAATGTATTTTTCTCAATAGCTTCACACTGGAGGGTCTAGCCTATGTAACACTGCATCATTCACTGGGCAATGGTTAGACTGTGTTTAAAAGTGTCCTAAATTATTTTCAGGGAAAAATTCAGTCACAACAAAGTATCAACAAAATCCTTAGTATTATCAATACTAAAAAGGTGTCAATTCAAGTGTATACAGACCCAAGTTTATTATCAGGGGCAAGTGAGAGGGAGAGGGAAGAGGGCCTCATTGCTTAAGGGATGTTGAGCTTCTGTCAAGGGTGACTGGAAATGGATAATGGTGATGGTTGCATATCATGAGGAACACAATTATTGTCACTGATTTGTACAGTGACGAATGTTGAAATGGCAAATATTCTGTTACATATATATTTACTACAATAAAAAAAAGGGTGCCAGTTGCCAAGTTAAGTCTATGATACTTTTGATTATTTTCCAAAGGTTTGTATATAGAAACTGTAGTAAGAATTGAGATGATCTTCTTTGCTTCGCATACATTTAAATAAAATCTTGATGAGAGAAATAGAAAATCACCATCAGAATTCCATGATAATAATTGTTGCAGGGGAACTCCACTGACGTATAGTGAAATAGATGGGCAAAAGTTTGAGGTGAAACAGAATATTTACGTAGTCTCAAAGTGTTTCCTTCAAGAGAGGGAAAAATAACTTTACGGTGGAGAAACCTGGCAGACACCACCTTAACCAGGTGATGAAGGTTAATATCACCAGTAATAAGACCATGTATCATCCCCAGATACAGACACTGAGAAGGCACATCACTTCTGTGATGTTGTTGCCAAAAATGCATGGCCTCCCTGACAGAGCCTAGAGAAACTCCAAGAGTATGGCCCCCAGATACCCTTTTAGCTCAGTAACAAAGTCACTCCTGAGATACACCCTTCATCCAAAGATTAGACAGGCCCATAAAACAAAATGAGATTAAAGGGGCATACCAGCCCAGGGGCAAGGACTAGAAGGTAGGAGGGGACAGGAAACCTGGTAATAGGGAACCCAAGGTCGAGAAGGGAGAGTGCTGATGTGTCATGAGGTTGTTAACCAACGTCATAACACAATATGTGTCCTGTTTAATGAGAAGCTAGTTTGTTCCGTAAACCTTCATCTAAAGTACAATTTAAAAAAAATAAAAAAAGCAAGACCTCAATCTAATCATAAGAACATATCAGACAAACTGCAACTGAGGGACAGTCTGCAAAAATACTGATTGGTACTCTTCAAAAGTGTCAAGGTCATAAATGACAAGGAATAACTGAGGAACTGTCACATATTGGAGACTAAGGAACAAAAAAGGACATCAGTGGAAAAACTGGTGAAGTCCAAATAAAGCCTGTAGTTTAGCTAATGGTATTGTCTCAATGTTAATTTCTTGGTTTTGATCACTGAACTGTGGTTATGTGAGATGTTAACAAGGGCGGATTAACCAGTAAGCAAAGTATGCACGGGCTTACTTGTGTTTACTTACAAATTTGCAGTGCACAATTTCACATAGGTATCATTTTCCACGTGGTGAAAAACAGGTGAAATTCCGTACTACAGATTAGTAAATTAGCGCAAGTAAGCCGTTCGTACCTTGCTTATGGGGTAATTGGCTACTAGTAGGATGTTAACATCAGGGAAACTGCGTGAAGGATATGCGAGAACTTTCTGTACATTTTTACAACTTTTGCTAAGTATAAAATTATTTCAAAATAAAAATAAAGAAAAAAACAACAACATGGAAAATTGTAAATAATATATGCAAGGTGGGCAGAAGTCAAACTTCAGAGATCTCCTACACCTAAATTAAAACCTAAGGGTGATTTATTATCCTGTATTTTCCTACCAGAACTCCAAAGTTTCACAAAAGTCAGCCCACACTAATACAGAGATCTCTAAATTGAGGTTCTGACTGCTGGAGAGTGTTCCTTTGAATCTTTCCAAAGAAGCAGCTCTCCAGTGACAGTGATGGAATGTGCCTGACCTCTGCGCCCTCAGTGCCTGCACAGTACCTGGCACACAGGTGTACCTGGCACACAGGTGTGCAGTAAGTGTCACTGAGTAATAAATGAACAAGCTGACCTCTCAAAAGGAAGCCACGCCCCAGAACGAAGGACTCAAATTTGTTATATTAGCAGAAGGAAAAGGAAGGCAAGCAAGCAAACACATACAGTTAACCTTTGTCACAGGTTATCTAGGCTTTGGGTTAATCTTTTTGGGGACAATCTCTGGATCTTGTTGATCTTCCTCCATCTCCTTTGACCATTTCATCAATGGTAGAAAGGGTGAGTCAGAGAAAAGGACTCTCAAAATAATCATTTCTATGGATTGGCAAGAGTGCTGAGTGATCAATAAAGGATAATCACTGATAATACACTCTATGTACTCTATGAAGGAGGGCTTAAGGGAACTGAACCGGGTTTAAAAACAGCAGAATTGGAAACTGTATGCTTTACAAACAGTGCTTCTAAGCTGCTGTCGTGGGGGTATGCCCACCAGGGTAACCCCGCGGTAGAAGGCCCTGAATGATATTGACATTGCTATGACCCCTTGCACTTAGAGACATCCTCACAAGCAGCTGCAGAGCCACTAACTACACGGAAGTAAGAAAACGACTTTAAGGGTTTCTTACACACTGCTGGTTCTGACCAGATACAGACACATCAGCTTGATCACTCACAGTTGGCTCTGAGTGACATTTGTTCATTACTCCAAATCAAACCCAACTGCCTTCAATTGTGATTCTTCACCCACTGTGGATTTTCACGAGGATCTCTGAAGGCAGTCCCATATAAGGCTTCTGGAAGTGGCTTGGGTGATGCTCACTTCTCAGGATGGTGCCTGCAGTGGGGCGAGGGGGGTGGGGTGCGACGCTGAAACGCCAGGATGGTGCCTGTGGGTGAGGGTGGAGTTGCTGAAACGCCAGGCACATTGCTCTGGTCACCCATGAGACATCTGGTCTCTCGAGGTTGACTGTTCTTTTTATTCCCACAGCCCAGCACAGACAGTAGGTTCTCCACAAATATCTGTTAACCAGTTGACTTCCTTAGTTCTTTAACTCCAGATATTCAGAAAATCAGAGTCCAGCTGATAATCAGAAGGCTAGAGATGTCTGTGTTCTCATTATGACACAGCTGTGGTAGACTGAAAAGATCACACACTCTGCAGTGAGGCAGAAGATTCAAATCCTGGCTCTGCCACTAACCAGGTAGCGGTTAGTGACATCAAAGTCACTTCATCTGTGTGTGCCTCAGAATCGGCCCCTCCACACACAGCCCACACAACTTCACTACAAATGAAGTTAACAATGCCTACTTTCCAAGTTCTGAGGTTTAAACAGGCTCCTAGCACTCAACAAATGGCTATTATTAGTATAATTGAAAATAGGATGATTTTGATAGATACTTACCTCTCTCAGAGTTGGCTTGCCAATGAAAAAATCTGTGTTTTTGCTGCTTTTGGGTGGGTTGAACTTGGGATTCAGAAAAGCACACCCATTGGCAATGGCCTCCAGGGGAGCCGGGCCCTCATAAGGGAATCCAAGTCCAACAAACAACTGCAAGACAGAAAAACACACAACGTGTAAAGACAACAATCAGGATTGGCATCTCTGGCTCACAGGAGACCACGTCTGCTGTCCCTTCATGTGAAAGCCTCAGAGGTTCTGGAAGGTACTCAGGCCCTTGCTGGTGGGGCAAAGAGAAATCAGCTGACGACAGGGTCTGCAAAATATAACCAGGGACCTTTAAAGGCCCCATGAAACCACTCAGCTCATTATGCTCTCCTGTTCTGCTAAAAAAATAAATTTAAGTGTTAGGAGGGCGGAGAAGGAGCAGGAAGGTGAGATTATTAAGAGAAAAAACAAACAAAACAACAAAAATTAAGACCCAACAATAATCTTTCTGTAACTCACCAGGAGACATGACTGGAAAAACACTTGCTTAACTAAACAGAAGGTTTCTTCATTGAGCTAAGGGAACAACAAGCTCTTTCAACAACGCTGGGCAGAGGGACCAAGAGGTCACTTAGTGGTCTGATTACAGTTCAAATAGAACTGCTTTCAAATGATGGTAGGTCAGTAAACACAGGTTTACATAATGGGGTTTTCACTAGGGGACACCAACATCTTGGTTTTTATTTTCCCTCAACAGGGGCGGGGGGGCGGGGACAGGAAAGACACTGAGTTTTCCATCAGCAAGGCTGCTTCCCTCTCCAGCCACTAGCCCGTGCGTTTCCCCACAACAGCCAAGAGATGGCAGCAAAAACACACTCAAACTCCTCAGGAGCCACTGCAGCTGAGAGCCGCTGTGACAAAGAGGACTAGCTGCAATTCAGTGGCACTGATTCCTGGGTCCAAAATGAAATAACACCTCCCAGATATGCCTCACTGTGTATCCTCACCACGGGGATTTTTCACATTGCTTAGGACTATGGGTTAGTGATGGGCTTGGTGAGATGAGCCTTCTCCCACTGAAATCGCTCCAGTCCCCCATGGGACATCAAGTGACAAAGAAGAACTGACCCCAGGGTATCGCTGACTCCTGCCACTGTGTTGAGAAACACCCATGCACACAGCCAGGCCTCGTGAGTGAAGGATATTGCTGAACCAGATGTGGCTGTATGTTTGAATCTCCTCTCTCCAGCTCCCCTGCTGCTGCGTTAATTGAACGATTACTTAGAATGGTTCTGCTGAAGAGCCGGGTTACCTGGGCAACCCTCTAAGGAGCAGATCGTATGCTGGGCACTCAAATTCCAGTGCTGAACGCTGAGGATGGCTCTCGTTTGACATATTAAAGTAATGTCGACACTGTAGGACTTTTTCCGGGGCAAGAAACTAAAATCTCAGGTTTTCTGGAGACTCCATATCCCATAACTATATGTTCCTTTCCTACAGAACAGGGAGCACAACCTTTTTTTTTTTTTAGGAACAACCTTTCATTTCCTCCAAATCTTGAGATCCCTGGCTTCACTGTCAGAGAATTTCATGGGGGACAGCGTGGGGGACAAAGGCTGAGAGGCCAGGCAGAGCTCCCACTGCTAACCAGTAAACCATTTGCTGTTCAATTGATTCCGACTCATGGTGACCCCGTATGTGTCAGAGCAGAACTGTGCTCCATAGGGTTTCCAGTGGCTGATTTTTCAGAAGTAGATTGCCAGGCCTTTCTTCTGAGGCATCTTGGGGTAGACTTGAATCCCCAACCTTAGAGTTAGCACTTGAGCGTGTTAACTGTTTGTGACATTCAGGGACTCAGCTCCCATCACTAACAACAACAACAAAAAAGTTGCTGTAGAGTTGACTCTAACTCATGGCAACCCCACGTGTGACAGAGGACAACTGTACTCCATAGGGTTTCTAATGGCTGATTTTTCAGAAGTAGATCACCAAGGCACCTCTGGGTGGATTTGAACCACCAACATTCCAGTTAACAGCCAAGTGTTTAACCGTTTGCGCCACTCAGGGAAGGTCCCTAGGTTAATTTCTACTGGAGACCAGGAATCAGGATGAGCAGGAAGCATGGTAGTAGAAGCCTGGAAGCTGTAGGATAGATGGGAGATCTCCACTACCATTTGCAAGCTCCTGCTCCTGGATCCCATTCTTATTACATAGCCAAGAGAAATGAGATTAACAGAGAGAACTTAGGTGTACAGGGGGGTTGTATGTGGCTCAGGGTTGGGGGTGGGGGAAATAGTGGAAAGTACTAATCCCAAGACCCTAGCTTTATCGACTATGGAGACTCCAGGGTTACCATTCTTGAGGCTACCCAAAGTCCTGTGAGCTGCCCTCCCCATCAGACTGTGGGGAGGATGTTCTGGCTCTCCAGGGGAAAACAGATGACCTCTATCAGACCACATTTGGGCGCATGAAATCACAGCACTGCCAGATCTTTCTGACTCTGAGAAGACAGGTGCTAGAAGATGCAGATGAGGTCTTTGCAGGCTTAGCCAGAGACCCAGAGCTCACATCGTTTCCTGACCTCTGAAAATAAGGGCCTGCCATGAAGTGCTGATACCTTCATTAACTCTAAATTGCAAAGAAGAATTCTAGAGGAAATGCAAGAAGCACAATACTTTTATTTAAACAGAAAATCTTGGGAAAAAATTTAATTAGCTCCTTCAGACCAACCAATTTGAACCCATTAATTAAAAGGAATGGAGGCTGTTGCTTAATGGACTTGAATGCGACCTAGGTTTAATTATATCTGAACAGCAATTTGCACCATCCCTTCGGTTCTGCTGGCACTGGGCTATCTCAGTATGCATAAAATAAACACTTGGGCTAACTCTCCAAAGCCTCACAATTTTCAAATGAAGCTTAAGCAAATACCACACAATTTCTTGGCAATGAGTTTTCTCGTCACACTAATTAGGATTGCAGGAAATGCATTACTTGGAAACACCAAAATAACAGTGTTTTGTCATTTCTGTCAATGAGTAGTTTTTTTTTCTTGCTTCTTGCATACTCATTACCTGTGACATTATAATGGAACAGATGTACTAAGGTCAAATAGCACATCTGAGGTTTGAATGTCAACAGGGTAAGCAGATAGAGCTCATCACCACCAAAAGGCATTCTGGAAGCGTCCATGTGCCACATGCTGGTACCTTAACCACACTAAATTGCTTTTCCTCTCACTCCCCACACCTTCCATCATTCTTCCTACTTAACAGATTTCCTTCACACAAAGGGGGTGCAAGAGACACACTACACAATCAGGTACTGAGGCTTAACTCTTCAGGAGAAACCTGGGCATGTTTTATTTATACTCTGTCTGGCCTTTAGAAGTCCGGAACCTGATGAGGATATTCTAGGTGACAGGACATCTCTGTGGCTGCAATTATGGCTCCATCAATGAGCATTTCTAAGCAGATCGGTCACATGCTCTAAAACTGAACTTTTAAACTAATACTAAAATCAAGACAGAACAGATGAAGTAATATACATTTTACTTGTGGCACCGGATTGGGACATTCCTGTAGATGGACAAAGAGTTTTGTAAAACCAGTCAGATTGTTATTCCATGTGAAAGGAAAAATGGAGTTGTTTTCAGACTCTTAAGGGGAGCAGTTACTGTATGTAAAAATGGCGTGGTGGGGCATTGGTGGCGCAGTGGTTAAGCGTTGGGCTGCTAACCAAAAGGCCGGCAGTTCGAATCCACCAGCCGCTCCTTGGAAACCCTCTGGGGCAGTTCTACTCTGTCCGATAGGGTTGCTATGAGTTGGAATCAACTCGACGGCAACAGGCAACAGGTTTTGGTTAACTTCACAAGTGGGAAGGAGAATCAAGATCAACAGCCCGAGGCTGACTGCTACGAGGTGGAGGTCAGACTTATCTCTTTCCTCTCCCCCTCTTAACCAATTCTAACACCAACCGTCCCTCCCATGGCACTCTGTACGTCTTTGCTGGGTTCAAATAATTTGTTGCAATGGCCACACAGAACTCACAGACAATATGCACGATTATGGAGTTTATTAGGGAATAGGCAGCGCAGTGGTTAAAGCGATCAACTGCTAATCGAAAGATCAGCAGATCAAAACTACCAGCAGCTCTGTGAGAGAAAGATGTGGCAGTCTGCTTCCGTAGAGATTTATAGCCTTGGAAACCCTATGGGATCGCTATGAGTTGGGATCAACTCGATGGCAGTGGGTTTGGTTTTAATAGGTTACAATTCAGGTTCAGGAAAGCTCAGGATACAGTTCTTCCATCAGGACAGCTTCTTCTCAGCTGTGCCTGCAGGCATGCTTCTCTCTGGTCCCTTGGCCTCTTGGCCCCTCAGCCTCTGCATTCTGCCCTGCTTGGGCAAGTGTTAAAGCTCTTTTAGCTCTGCCGGTAAGTGTCTGACGCTCGCCACCCCACCAGTAAGCCTCACTGCAACTCTTTTGTACTGGTCTCCTGATTCCTGCAGTCTACCGCTGTCTTCCGTGTTACAGCTCCACTCTCTTTCTCCTGGATCTAGTAGGTTCTCAGCACAGAAATCCCGGGTACAAAGGATGTGCTCCACTCCTAGCTCTTCTTTCTTGGTGGTGCTGAGATCCTCCCTTCCCGCCTCATGGCTCATCTTAAGCCTAGCAAGATGGCAAAACTGACCAATTCTCTCGTTAGGGTTCCATATACCTTATTTGCATAGTCCCACTCCCACAAGGTACCACAGACCTTATTTACATTATTAGCAAGCTATCCAATCCCTTTGGTGGGCCACAAGCACCTCATCTGCATAATCCCACCTAGTCATTTGGTGGGAATTACAAAGACTATGGCTAGAAGGGCCATATTAAGTAATTCACTGCACTGCAGCATATAATGAAAGTAGTTCCTAGGAAGACTATATAAATTTGGTCAATTTTCAGTCACTCTTGGTGAAGAATATCAAAGATAATCCAAAACAGGAGACACGCACTCACCATATACTTTTTTGATTAGTTTTAATTAACTAAGTTGGTGGGGTGGCTCAGGAGAGAGTTTGGGCAATAAATCAACCTTAGCTTATCCAATGCATTGATTATTGGCATAAAGCGATCAGGTCAATGTGGTGATTCACAGCGCAGGCTCTGGGGTCA